AGGGTCGACTCCAGAGGCCGATCCTCGCACGGTAGCCGTGGGGGCTCGTCTGGGGCTGCTATCTGGGCGAGACTCAGAGATATGCTCGATACGATTAGGAAGGACGGTGGTTCCGATGCTTCCTCGGACGACGAATTGCCCCCTAGATGAACGGAAGGCTGACCTTGGTTCATGGGGAATGAATTCCGTGTCACTCGCTAACCTCGGGATATGCAATAACGATCCACCTGAAGTACTCTGGGAAAAGGACAATGAGGATAATATGAAGATCACTGAGAGCCGAACGACGTAGTCTAACAATGTACCTCATTTGTTGTTGACGGGATTGTCTTGTGCATTGTTGCGTGGAGTGCTCTTGTGTGTTGATGTTTTCGCCCTAACTTCGGATCATAGACCGAGGTTTGGGTACTGTACAACTCGACAAAACAGTTAGAAGGAAGACTCCCAGTTTGAACATACGAAGCATGGTCATTCAACTTCCTTTGTCTTTCAAACCAGGCACTCTAACGGGACTGAGCTGCCTAGATCTAGCTCACCCGGTCGTGGAGTGCAGCAAACGTGACTTCGCGCCGTCGAGATGCTGAACATCCATTCCGTTTGCTGGATTTTTGACAAGTGAATGGGTTGAGACATCACGAGAAAAATAGGCTTCATTAACATGAACATATTCTCAACTAGATCATGAATTCGTCAAATGAACTCTTGCAATATGGCACATTAACAGTGACCCTTAATCCATCCAACTAACAAACTCGACAAGACAAGTGTGAGAGTTGGTTGATTGTTGAACACACCTCCTTGGTGTGTGTCTTCACTACTACAGAGTTAAGTTAAGACGAATGAAATGAAAATGAAATACCGTGAAGTCCAACTAATTTAGTTGGATATAAAGTGCAACTAACCAGCATTCATATTGCTGGCAGTAGATCAGATACATTCACATGGAATACTCTCCCAAAGCTGACGCGCTTCAGAGCCCTCGCTCAAACGCCTATCACTTTGACAGACACTAGGAGTACTCCAGTACTTACAATACGATCCGGGCATGATAGAATCACAGTAAGCATCACCGACAGGACACTCCGAAACGCTGGAAGCAGTTGTAGATGGTGGAGCTGTAGTCGTAGTAGTCGGAGGAGTTGTGGTAGTAGTCGGAGGAGTTGTGGTAGTAGTCGGAGGAGTTGTGGTAGTAGTCGGAGGAGTTGTGGTAGTAGTCGGAGGAGTTGTGGTAGTAGTCGGAGGAGTTGTGGTAGTAGTCGGAGGAGTTGTGGTAGTAGTCGGAGGAGTTGTGGTAGCAGTCGGAGGAGTTGTGGTAGTAGTCGGAGGAGTTGTGGTAGTAGTCGGAGGAGTTGTGGTAGTAGTCGGAGGAGTTGTAGTCGTAGTCGGAGGAGTTGTGGTAGTAGTCGGAGGAGTTGTGGTAGTAGTCGGAGGAGTCGAAGTGCAATCACATGGGATACTCTCCCAGAGCTGACGCGTCTCAGAGTCCTCTGTCAAACGTCGATCGCTCTGGCAGTAACTAGGAGTACTCCAGTACTTGCAATAGGATCCAGGCATAATAAAATCACAGTAAGCATCACCGACAGGACAACCCGAAATTTCAGAAGCCAGAACAACCTGTTCTGCCGTAGACAAGGACACGCTGAAGTATGAGACAAGCGCAATAGCAAGTGTTGGCGTCACCGACATGTTAAGCACGTAATAACAAAAAATAACTGAAGACAATAAACGTACACCATAGAACGCTTCCCTCCAAGATGAGAGGAACAAGAACCATCAGCTTGTAAAGCTTACACACCTATCAGGTTACTGATGCTATACAGAAACCCCCTCAAATTCCACTTACCAACTGAGTACATTATGACAATAGAGTGATCACTTTAGACAGTGAATCACAATAGCTATTAGCTGATGGCTAGAGCCGAGTGGATTACTTCATAACACATATTAGCGAGCCTGATTGGAGCACCCTTCTGTAAGAAGTGACTAGTGGAGCTAAGGGTATGAGTGTAGACCCTTAGAGTTG